CATATTCCAAAATTTGCCTGGAACCTGGACCTCTACTGGTCCCTTTCCAGGGCCCATTGCCTTGTAGGATTTGTTTCTGATCTTTAGCTTCTTGTTATCATTTGGTCAAGTCAAGAGAAGAAAGGGAAAAAAGTAAGTGTTGTTCATTCAGTTTGCCATGTCTAATCATGTCCTCTAGTAGATCAATATTTTCAATGTGTGTTGTTGATCATGTTTCATATCCTATTAAAAATATTCACCTATAATTTTTCATCAGCATTTTCAGTTTTGTTGTTCACCCAGTTTATTACAGTGTGGGGCAAGAATTTGGAATCTGAATTTACTGTTTTCTCCGTACTTGTGACCTTAACATTTGTAGGAACGTCATTTTTCATCTGATTTCAATACCTCTATTACTATTTCTTGTACATGTCCTTGGGTTTGCTTGTGGGTTTTCTACTTTCATACGTTAAATTTGTCTACTTTTATGCTGGTAGCACTTACTTTAACAAAAACTGCTCTGTGACAGTCACGTTACTGATCTTAAAGTCTCTGCTTTACAGATTTGCTATTATTTTGTTATGTTTTGCAAACTACATCGTCTAGGAATTTAACTGGCAAAAGTTAACATAGATTACATTTCTATCATTACAGCATTGAGGTTTGTCATTTGTAAAAATGGTGTGCATTACCATTTGTTGTTTTTGTTTGTTTACTGGTTTCTGTTTTGTTTTTGAGACAAGGTCTTACTATGTAGCCCTGGCTGGCCTGGAACTTGCTATGTAGATTAGGCTGGCCTTGAACTCACAAAGATCTCCTGCCTCTGCCTCCTGAGTGCTCAGCTTTATTTGGGTGTTTGGTAGTCTTATATTAGGTTTGGGAGCTTTTTAACTACATTAATTAATTAAACAATATTAATTTAGCATAACATACCCTTTTGTTATGATTACAAACAGCATATTTTCCCATTAAAAAAAAAATTAGAGGTGGCTGGTTGCAGGTTCTCTAGACCCTTGTGCACTGAACTTTGCTGCTTTTTATCAACTGCCATAAGTCTGAAGATCTTGTGGTGACTAATCCTGGTTGTCAATCTGACATGCCTGGAAAGCAGAGGGAACCCCAGTAGAAGAATGGCCTCCATCAGGTAGACCTGAAGGCATGTTGTAGACATTTTCTTGGTTGATGGTTGATGGAGATGGAGCCAGCCCACTCTGGGTGGCGCCATCCCTAGGCAGGAGGACCAGGGTAGCTGAGCAAGCAGGTAAACAGCGTTTCTCCATGGTCTCCACTTCATTTCCTGTCTCCAGGTTCCTGCCCTATCCTGCCCTGGCTTCCTTGTATGGTGGCCTGTAAACTCCAAACTAAATATACCTTCTTTCCAAGTCAGTCTTGCTTATGTTTTATCAAAGCAACAGAACACAAACTAGAACCCTTTTCCATTTTCTACACAATGTTATCACAGCAAATAGAGACATTTCTACCCCAATGGCTCAGTCTTCTCTTTCATAAAAGGGGCAATAGTGAGTCTTGTCTTTTTCGTAGTTGTAATGGCCTTGGGAAACATAACGCGCTTCCTGCTAAGTCTCTCAATGTGTTTTTAAAGATCTTCTTCTTAGTTTTCTAAGAATTTATCTTCAAATAATTATTCATTTTAACCAAATACTATCTTCTATCTTATGAGATGATTTTTTTTTTCTTTTTTGAAAGCATTTAAACTGCAAGTGTGTATTATATCAATAGATTTTCAGATTTTGGACCATCTCTGCTCTGATTCTTTTTTATACTATTAGATAAAATTTGCTGATTTTTAAACTTTAACTTCTTAAGTGTGGTTAGTCTAAACTCTCACTCTATCTTTTTGTGGGTATGTATGTGTGTACACTTTATGATCTAATTGTGATGCCAAATATAATAAATCATTTTGTCTGTTCAATAAAGTAGATTTCTTAAAAGTTAGAATGATGTCCAGTGTTCATGAAATAAAGGAAGTGGATTTCTGTTTTGAATAATTAAAAAAAAATGACCTGTCTTTACTTTTCAAAGTCAAGCCACAAACAAAATATAGCTACTGATCAATATGGCAACAAGTTCTAGGGACCAAAGGAAAAAATATAAGGCGTCATGGAAATATTTTTAAAGGTCTCTTTGCATCCATTGTGGTTGACTAAGTCCTGTAATAAACAAGCTCTTCTTTATCTGGGATGATCCAGGTGGAAATATATTCCACAGGAATTTCCTACATAAATCCTATATTTATATATTTTAAAGTATTTTAAGCACTGTTTACAAATGACCTTTGGAAAAAGTAAATACTATGAAAGTGAGATTCCCATGGCAGAGATTAGGCAATATTCAAGCATGGTTTATGTGTTTTTCTGTTTGTTTTTTGTTTTGTTTTTTGTTTGTTTATTTATTTGTTTTGTTTTTGTTTTTCATTCCTTTTAAACATTTTTTGAGAGAAAGAAATTTTTTTCTGTTACAAATATTTACATGATATGTGTTGAATTATTCTTCCAACTTATAGTTCTACTACAGGAGCTCTACAGCAGATAAATAGAATGAACATCAAGGCTCTCTGTGTGCTCTACTCCTCATATGGAATATCTAGGGCTAGTTCTTCTACAGGAGCTCTACAGCAGATAAATAGAATGAACATCAAGGCTCTCTGTGTGCTCTACTCCTCATATGGAATATCTAGGGCTAGTTCTTCTACAGGAGCTCTACAGCAGATAAATAGAATGAACATCAAGGCTCTCTGTGTGCTCTACTCCTCATATGGAATATCTAGGGCTTATCTCGGGAGGCATACTTCTTTCTCCCAAAAAGCAAAACCCAAAATATTCAGCTACTTATCTTCTACGAACCATGTAAAATGCGCATCCCTTCCATGTTTCCTGTTGGTTATGTTTTTTCTCTTTTGTAGTACAGCTTCTCTTTCCTCTGGAAAGCAGGCACTTAAAAGAAATTCATAAACTACAAAATTTTGCTGATCACCCAAGGTATATGTCTGGCATAAGTGGGGAGTGTGTTGCTTAGGATGTTGTCTGTGCAGACCAGCAGTGGAAAATAGCTGTTTCAAGAAGCCCTCTATGATCCAGCCTTAACATCACACTTGCAGGAAACTCTCTGGGCAGAGGACATATCAATGTAACTGAGATGTTTAAAGAACCCAATGCCTGTCTGCTAGTGTCTCCAAGTTCGGCCCTTTACCAGACTAAGACGTATTATTCTCTCTTTTCAGCCTGATACAGAATTTCCCTAGCTGCAAAACTGGCTACATTCTAAAAGAAGTTTATTTTGAAGTTATTTATCTGGGATCAGAAAAGATTTTCCCAAAGGAACAGTTTTGTAAGTGATTATGTTCACTGATGGCCTGGCTGAGCTGCAGTGAACTTGAAATTGACAGCATGATTCCCACCAACCAGTTATTTATTTTGCGTATCTGGGAAAGTACACTCTGGGTTCTGATTGGGAATGCTTGGAGCCCACATCTCCCTGGGCCCAGTAGTCTTTGCTGAATAGCAGAAGAAAGCTAGCAGAGCAGAGGAGGTATGTCACTTTCTGAAGTAGCACAGAGAGTTCACGTAGATGCTTCTGGACGACTGGTAAATAACCAAGGGTTGCAGAAGAAACACTCCAGTGTGGACCATCTGCTTCCCAAGTGCTCTCAAGGAGACACAAAGGGCAAGGGCTGCTTCCTAAATAGAGGCAGCTCCTCTGTCAGATCTTCATGAGGAGCCCTTCTCTAAGGGCTTTGCAGTAAGACTGCGTGTGTTGATTAAGCTTCTGGACTTGTAATTAGCCAGGGAAAATATTTAAAGCTTCTTGGTCAATGATGAGACAGGGTCTAAACACATACCAATAAGGAAACACGGATTTTGTGCTTAGCCCCAGGCCTGACAAACAGTAAGTATTCCAATTTCTTAAAAACTAAGTACTGACTGAATGAATTCCAAAAAATACAAGACCACAATTGGATGCATGTGTGGGCCAGTGACCTGCATTGTAGCTCGGCGGCTTCAAATGTTGACTCTTCCCCAGCACAGGCTTCCTAAAACTAGAACATCTGTATCACCTGTGAGGGCATATGTGTTTTGCCTGCCCCAAGGCATATGTTGGTCTTCCCAGGCACATTCATTTCTGGTACAATCTCCCCACTGCCAAGACTGAGTACCAAGAGGAAGATGGGTGGAGTTGATGGGGGGAAACCAATAGAGCTATGTAAACCATAGGACCCCATCTGGCCAAGTTGCTCACTCTGCCTTTATTCTGGCCAGCATTATCTACTAAAAAGACTGGTGCATTTTATTTATATTTTTTTGTCAGTTGTTTTCATAACATAGACAAGTTCTTGGCTAGCACTTAGCCTGGACAGCAGACCTGAGTCTTATCTGCTTCAGGTCTTTTAATTTGCAGAATGATTTAAATTCGTTTTGTAATGCAACTACTTTGAAAAGAAATTCACTATTAAGGCCTCCTCAACTAAAACATCTGCCCCCCCCACTCCACCCCCAACCCCATAAGTACAACTAACTGCCCACTTTTGTTTCATGAACTGTGCTTTCTTTTTAAAGCTCTATTTGTGTTTCGCAAGACAGCCTCTTTCTCCAAGATTAACGTTTCTTATGATTGTTCCTGACAATGGATCCACTTCCAGGAGGCCCTGCTTAGGATAACCAAAAAAGGGCATGGAGCCGGCTGGTTTTGGCAGCCTGCTCACAGTCTCAAGCTTTTTAGGACTTGGTTTTTCTGATGAGTGATGTCTCGAGCATGCCTAGGGAATGACAGGCATCTGCACAGGCAGACAGCATCACCTTGGCAGGGGTGTCGTCATTGGCCGCCTGTTAGAAAAACTACAGGACAATGCACCTCACCGCCTGCTGACTATAAACATAAGGGAAATGTGTTCACTTAGCATGGACCTCTGGGAGGGGCCAAGGAAGGGCGGTCTGCAGTTTTATTGAATAGAGCAGTGTGCTTTCGGCGGCCTGCCTGCCTGCTCGCTCTCTTGCTGTGTTGCTCGGTCCGGTCTCTTTAAGCTGTGGAAGAAGCCGCTGCCTGAGAGGTAGGACACAGGGTCTTTCTTTTTCCGCCTTCAGGGAAGCGGAGCCGCTCCGCAGGTTTCAGGCAACATTCCAGGCTAAAGTTGATGGATATGCAAAATCTTTCGAGGCAGACAACACACAGCGGGTAAATTTTCCAAAAACAGCCTGGACTTCCCTGACCTGGGAATGTTCCCAGAAGGTCGATATGGTGAAACTTCAAGTTTTGTTTCTAGAAATGGGACAAGAGAAAAGATCTCATAGTGACATGTTCAGGGAGCTTGTGTGACTTTGCCTAAGATGCGATTCTGTTTTCAAGAGGGTACATGGATTGTATACCAGGTATCCTCAGGTTAGTGCCAGGAGTGAACTCTGATGGTCTATCCCTCAGTTTCTTCTCCATCTTCTACTAGCAGAAGTTTAAATAGGTTTCAGGTTTCGCTTAAAAAGTAACAGCAAAAAAAATTTTTTTTTAGATTGTTAAGACAAAGAGTGGTCTCTCTTTTTCTTTCTTTCTTCCTTTCTTTCTTCCTTCCTTTCTTTCTTTTTTTCTTAGCTAAATACATTTCCGTTACTTCGCTACCAGGGTTTTAGAAGTAGGCTTTCAGAGATGTAAAGAAAAATGACTAGAGTTCTCTCCCACTAGCGCCACCGACAGAGGACAGGGCTATAGGGTCACTCATCTGCTGAGGCAGAAGATGCCTACCGAGTCTGTTTTCTATAAAACCGAGCAGCAAGAGAATGCATGCATGAGTGGGCGTGTATGTAGAAAACACGGTCAACTTCCTACCAAAAATATTTCTTGAGAAATCTTCATTTCAGTTGGAAGGTATGTCAAGAAAGTTATAAGTGGGGAGAATGTTCCAGAAAAAGAAGAGGGGCTCTTATAGACAGGCGTATTTGGGCATCTTACACAGTTGCATAGGTTGGTATCAGTCGGCAATTCCTTTTAGAAAGAGCTGGTTGTAAAGGGCGGGGGAGTTTCAGTACTGTGGCAATACATGGTCAGAAAAATAGAGGACAAAGTGCTTGGTATTCACAGACTCCTGGTAATAAGGCTGTGTATAAGGAGCTGTAAACAGAAACAGTGCAGCTCCTTAGTGTTAGGCAAAACCAGACACGTGTGGCTAGAACTCACTGAAGACAAGGGGCCATGCAAAAGGAAGAATGAGTCTGATCATTTAAAGAATAATACTCATATGAAGGACTAGAGGCTCCAGATGACTGCATCCATTTTATGCTATGACGGTTTGGACTTGAGACTCACCAAGTGGCCCTTGTGTTTATAAGTATTGGGGTAATTTCTTGGGAAGTGACATATGAGAACAGAGTGAATGCCCTATGAGCTTCTTTCTCTGGGACAGCTCTGGGTAAGAGTGAGAAAGGGTCCAGCCCAACTCTCTATTTGACTGTTGTCCTTCCCCGGGAGACATCAAGTTCCAAACTTTTCACGGGGTTTTAATGTCAATCAAAACATGAAGAGAAAAAATTTTCAAGTGTTCACTAAACCACGTAGGGAATGCAGTTTGAAAGAAGAATCTATAATCTTGGATTTGAGGATAAATTCCATTTTGAAACCAGAGTCCCCCGGGGTTCCCCAAAGTGCAGCTTCTCTACGGCCGGTTTCTCCCATCCCCTGTGGTCCCCCCACATCCAATCAAGACAAAAACACATTTTCTGAAATAACACTGTATGTGTTCTTTATACAGAGTGGGGGATTGTAGTTCAGGGTGAACTTTAGACAGTTCTTGGTGCCATATCCTTTCTGTGGAGAATGAGCTGGGATACATTTTCCCAAATAGGGAGGTAAATAAAACTCAATGAAACCACAGGCTGGAAACTTTTATTCTATTAAAATCATTTAATGGAAAGCATAAAGGCAAAGTTTCTGGGGGAAAAAAAATTCCCAGAAAAGAATAGCTCTTAGAACATATGAAGAATGCACTTGACGTGACTAGTTTACACGTTAAATGTGGGTGGGGTTGTTTCCATTTTTGAAAATCAATAGGATGTGCAGTTTAAAACATTCAAATCAAAAGATTGCCATAAGCATGCCCTTTTTGCATCAGAGAGAGGGGATACAGGTTTCCATTTCAGATTCAAAGGTTTAAAGGAAACATGTGAATGTATTTCCACGCAATGGGGCTATTCCCTGTTCTTACTGGTTCCTTTGACTGGTCCCAGTACTTTCCTAGTCTCTGCAGGTAGAATATGTTGGTTTGGAGGTGTGTCATAGAAAGTTCCAGAACCTAGCTTGGATATTTTCTGTTCCAAGGCCTTTTCTTAGAAAATACATACAGTTGTGTCCAGTCTCACGACTACTGGTAAGTCATTCTTCAGGGAGACAAGAAGTGACTTAGGGATGGACATGAGAAGGGTTTCCCCAGCTCTCCATCTGCCTGGTTGTCTGTCATGTGGCTTGGAAATGTGGTGGGCTGAGGCCATGGTTGGGAGGTGGGGGGTGGGGTGGGGAAAATGCTGACAAAGCGGAATGCAAATAGCATGGTAGGACTGTGGAAGAGGAGGTTAGGACGATGCTGCCAAAAGGGATTTCAAATGTTAGGAAGGCGTTCCCTGGGTAAGTCTCAGAATACCCAAAAACAGCACCATTAGCTTCTTAAGGGAAGGTCCTTCATTTGTTAAAGCCAATGGAGACACTCACAGGCCCCAAGGAGCTGCCTAATTTAAAGAGATACTCTTAGGTCCATCTTAACTCAGGCTCCAAGATGAAGGCCTGATTCTAGTTTTGGTCCTTTTGCTCCAATAACACTGACCTTTAAGGAAAGAAATCAACTCTTTGTCCTCACCTGGCATGGCTATCAGCATGCCTTTCTCTCTTCCATCCTGTAGGGGTTAAGATGTCCAAATGAGATGAGATATTTTTGTCTCCTTTTTCTGGAGGCCTATAGAGGCTAAGTGTGAATCTTCTGGCTCTTATGATAGCTCTGGGTGGCAGCCACCATTACCTATGCCGTTTCCCTAAAGACCTCACCTCCTTTCTCCCATTTGAGAACTTTTGCATGGTACCTTGGAGAACCGTGATCCTAGAGCCTTAAGAAACTGGTCTGTCCCGCTGTGGTCTGAAATTTGGCTTTGAGAATCAAAGACCAGGAGCAGAAGGATAATAGAAGGCAGAACAAGGTAGGCTATCTGTGGTGCAAAGCAATATCCAGGAACCAGGAAATGTGAGGAGCCAGGTGAACAGACCAATGACAAAGTGTTGACAACAGACAGGCCCTAGTAAATGAGGTGGCTTCTCTGCCTCCAGCCAAAAAGGATGGAATTAATCCCAGCTTGTCATGCCTGGGCCTTGTAGGCAGAATGAGGTAACCAGCAGCACCTGGCTGGAGTTCCTGCCCTTATTGAGACCAGATTTCTCTAGGAGCTGTGACTCTTGCCTATGTTGGCTTCACTGTTTAGTATTCCCAACTTTAACTAAAGCTCAGTGCTACCATCTCACCCTTACCCCTTGGATGGTCAACTGGCCATCTCCCCCATCTCCTAGCCTGACATGAACTCCCCTGCATTTCCAGAATTGGAAGTCAACAGGAACTTGACTGTGGGATGGGACCCAGGTAACAGCAAGTATCAAACACTTGGGTAGAACACAGTTGTCTTCAAGCCAAGAGAGAAAAGTTTTAGGTAACTTCAGAGGGTTTTTCTTGCTAGCTAATCTACTCTGTTTAGGAACTAATAAACCTCCTGCCTCACCTTCCTATAAGAGTGCTGGGGTAGGAGATGTGAGCATCCATACCCAGTTCTGGAGTGTCTTTCTTGTTTTTTAAGATCTGGTGGAGAAAAAATGAGTGTGAATATACAGATTGTAGGAGAAGTGTGCCTCATATTGCCTCCATTCCAAAGGAAAGGAGACCCAGATCCAGGGAATACGCTGTTTTCAGTAGGAAGTATGTCAGGGTTAGAGAAATGAAGAAATAGCTACTCACAAGCACCAAGACATTAATAAGAGGGTCGCTAAGGAGCTGTGAGGAATAGTTGGAATTTTAAAAGTATTTTAAGGAAATTGGGTATTATTTGAGCAAGTGCTCATCTTTATGTGTGTTTCTCTCTCTCTCTCTCTCTCTCTCTCTCTCTCTCTCCCTCTCTCTCTCACACACACACACACACACACACACACACACACACACGTTCACACCTATTACACATGCACAGCCATAATGATAGCTCAATGACTGCTTCTGGTTTCCTGAGGGTTCTGGCACTGTGTTGTGAATATGCGGATGAAAGCACTTGACCACCAGGAAATCGTTTTTTTTACTTGGAGAGGAACATCTTGAGTAGGAGTACATAATTAGTTCCTTTTAAGCCCACATGGGACATTCCCTCTCTTGTCCCTGGAAACATTTGGCTGGGGAGCTAGATAGACCTCACCTCTGAGCCTAGGACTGGCAGGACCAAGGATGGGTAACAACAGGGTCAAGGGCCAGTTGCTCCAGAGATGGAATCCAGAATGCCAGCCTCAGCCAGAATGGCTATGTCATAACTTACAGCAGGGAGAGTCTAGAAGAAATGGTAAAAGCCAGAAATCTCACAGACTTTTCCAAACCAGGCTCTCACCCAGCAACGCAAGGCCCTGAGAGCCATGGTGAAGTATGGGAAACAGCTTGACTCAAAATCAAGGACCAGTGGGTTCTTCTATTACTAAGCTTCAGTAGCTCAAGAAAAGGGGTGAGGTTATAAAATACAGATGGAATAATAAAGGGGCGGGGGATCCAGAAGCCAAACAGGGTGCAGTCCACAGGGGAAGGGGTTAAGATCCAAGGAAGCCAGCAGGAAACTGTGGCTCTCAACACTACGTTCCCATAATGTAAACTCAGCTATTCTAGGCAGCTGCTCTACCACCTGGAAAATTCCTTATGTGCTTCAGGCAATTCCTTGTGTGCACCAGGTCAGAGCCTGAAAGAGGACATTCAACTTGTTCAGATCCCTTCGCAGAGCAGATGGTCAAAGGCTCTGCATATCTCGGTATGTTACTCAATGGGTCTGGCAGCCACTCTGCCCCAAT